GGGGGGAGCGGGGAGGGAGGCAGCGCACTTGGGGACGGGATCGTTGCTCGCTCTCGCCTGAGCAAATAGGGAGCTTTCTGGGCCCCGCATTCGTGTGTTTGCTGAAGTTTGGTACGGTTTTTTCAGAGGTATGCATGCTTTAGGTATCATAAAGTACAACTACGTACATAACAAAGGTAACTGTAAAAAGCTGCAGGTCTTGTTTTTGCAGAGAGGCTTAAGCATACATAAATTCCTTTTTTTCTTCTTGGTAGGGTTTGATCGAAATAAAAGATGGACTGGAGCGGGAAACACAATGGGCCAAATGATACAACTAACGATGGAACAGTAGTACGACTTCGAGGCCTGCCATTTGGCTGCAGCAAAGAAGAGATTGTTCAGTTTTTCCAAGGTATCTCTAGTATAGTCGAAGTATAGTGACTGAGCTCTCTTGTATCTGTTGCACAATGTTTCATGCTGTATAATTTGCAATATGCATTAATGGGGTGGGTGGGAGGGATGATATTAAGCTAGCTTGTCTTTTTCTGCATAGGATTTATGCCTAATAAAGTGCAAATAGTGGTAGATCTAGTAAAGCTGAGTATGTGTCTAATTTTGTCAAGGTGGTAAATGTATTATGTATAAACAGTCTATGGCATTTGGAGCAGTTAAATTGCTTGTTTGGTAGCTATGTTTTCTTCATTTAATTGAGGTGGTTGTATTTTGCATAGTTTAAGTAGAAATCAACTATGGTTAAATCCATAAATGCTAAATTGAAAGATCATTGGCTTGTATTGTTGGGTGATGGGGGAGACTTAAGGGTGTCTTTTTTCTTTTTTTCTTTTTTTCTTTTTTTTTTTCGTTGTTGTTGTTTAGATATGCTTTAAGTATTTGCTACAGATGGGAATGTTTCAGCCTTTAACACTGTTCCCCTTGACGGGGTTATTTGTCCTTGGGTTAAAGGGTTGGAAATCGTGCCAAATGGGATAACATTGACGCTGGACTACCAGGGGAGAAGCACAGGGGAGGCCTTCGTGCAGTTTGCTTCAAAGGAGATAGCAGAAAATGCTCTGGGGAAACACAAGGAAAGAATAGGGCACAGGTGGGGATGGAGAGTTTGGGATGGTGTTAAATCTTTATTTTTTGGGGGTTGTGGGTCAGTAATGCTTTTGGGGAGGGTTGGGGACCTTAATATTGAACTGGCTATTTTAAAAAAAAAGATTTTTTATAATTGATCCTAAGTTAATTTGGGGAAATATAGTAGATTTGGGGGGTGGGGGAGACAGTAATACTCTGTGTAGTTTGCTAAAATCAGAATTCTGTTTCAATCTTTTTTTGTGTAGGGGGGGAATTTGTGATAAATGCCACTATAGCCAGATACTGTTTTTCAACAGTATGTTTTTCATACTGGAAAGAATCTTTTATGTTTTATTTGTACAGTTAGAATTTGCACATAGTATTTGTTACTAATGTAAAAGTTTCTTTGATACACTTAAGATTCTTAAGGTTTTGAGGAAAAACGTAAATTGTATGGTATCTTTAGTCATTTTATTGACTTTTTTTGTAATATTTTGTAATATTACATTTAGTTATAGAAAGTAATTTAATATGGCTTGTTATGATATTCAGACAGCTTATGCATGCATTCTCATTTGTACCTTGAAAATCCTCTTTTATTTAGATATATTGAAATCTTCAAAAGTAGTAAGAGCGAAATCAGAGGATTCTATGATCCACCAAGAAGAATGATGGGACAGCAGCGACCTGGACCATATGATAGACCATTAGGAGGAAGAGGGGGTTATTATGGAGCTGGGCGTGGAAGTATGTATGACAGAATGCGTCGAGGAGGTGGTGGATATGACGGTGGTATGTGTATCTAATGAACGGAGGTTCTGTTGTCAGTCTCGTGTTCCTGACGCCTTTGTCGAGAAATTAAAAAAAAAAAAAATGGCAGTAGCTTCAGTACCTACTAGGTTTGAAGTTTCCTGAGAGGGAGTGCTAGAAACAGTGTTTCAGAAAATACAGCTTAGTATTTAAGAGTTGTGGAAGTGATAAGAAAACTGTTTTCAGCACAATTGAATTTTTTAACTGCATGCTTCATTCTTTTTATTATAAAAGTGAATTTTGCACATGCAGTCTGTCAGAAATCCAGGCTTAGCAGTTGAGGAGGCAACTGCAGACTTTTGCGTGCCCAGAGACTGAAAACTGACTCTTGTGCATTGCTTCATAAATATTTAGTAGTAATGTAATCATGCCTTTTTTTTCCTTCTTCCTGCTCTGTCAATTGTACAGGATACGGTGGCTTTGATGATTATGGTGGCTATAATAACTATGGCTATGGAAATGATGGCTATGATGACAGAATGAGAGATGGGAGAGGTAAAAAACCTATGATTTGTTTAAGAAATCTGTATCAGTTCAGGTTTTAAGCAGTATATTTTTTTTCTCTTTTTTTAAGAAAGAAGAAAGTTGTTTAAAGGGAGAAAGCAGGGAAACTCTGGAAAAATTAGAAATATTGTTAAGGATATTCAAATGAGTGTTTTGGATGAAGTATAAGCATCTAATGTTCAATATATAGTGCCACACAGAAAAATAATAATAACTCTTCTGACTTTTCTTCAGCTTTCATGGGTAATTTCTTGCTTTGTTTTTTAATAGGCATGGGACATGGCTATGGTGGAGCTGGAGACGCAGGTTCAGGTTTCCATGGGGGTGGTCATTTTGTTCACATGAGAGGACTGCCATTTCGAGCAACGGAAAATGATATTGCTAATGTAAGTATATTATTGAACAGAGCCTTCTAATGCTGGGAGCTCTCTGCTTCTTGTTTTTCTTCTTTTCCCAACTTGGTTTTGGTTCTCAGCTAAGTGATTGATAAGTTTAATATGCATGCTAATTAAATTTATGGCCATTTATGTGAGTGCTACAGATCTAAACAGTAAACGAGTCTTTATAAAGTTAAGGATTGAGGTAAGCTTATTGAAAAAGTCAGCCAAATTCTTAAACAGTGGGTATAGAGATTAATGTTAATTTCTTTACATTAAAAAATGTAGTGGAGAGATGGTTGTTGCTTAGGCTCTGCTGTTCCAAAAAGAAGGGGGGAAAAATGATCTTCCTTTTCTAGAGAGGCTTTGGGTTAGAAACTGCTGTTTAAAGCATTGGGTCTGGCAGGTATTTTTTCAAATTGTGTAATAGTAAATTGTAAGTGGCATCTAATGTTACCACACAATGCTGCTGATACCTAGGAAATAACTAACTAGATTTTTTTGACAGGATGAGGAAAAAAAGCAGTGCTCGGCAGTAGTTACTGGGATAGCAAAAGATATGTGGCATGAATTCTAAAGTTCATGAGATTTTTATTTGTCCTTAGTTTTTCTCACCACTGAATCCTATAAGAGTTCACATTGACATTGGAGCAGATGGAAGAGCAACGGGAGAAGCAGATGTGGAGTTTGTAACACATGAGGATGCAGTAGCTGCCATGTCCAAGGATAAAAATCACATGCGTGAGTGTTGTCTTCACATGAACTTTTCATTGACAGTTCCATAGGTGGGTACGTAAGAGAAAATTCAGTAGAAGGGTTGAAGCACTGTAATGTTTAAGTTGCTGTGATGTCTGTTGTAATTGACTTTTTGCTGTTCATCAGAATGGCTAGGTATTGGTTGTATTTCACGCTCCCTTTTTGCAGATTTCAGGATGAAGATGCTGTCTGTGAGGGGAGGTTGGTTTTTACTTATTTCTGGTTCCAGTTTTTGAATAGGCAGTTCTTTTGTTTCTTACAGAGCATCGATATATTGAACTATTCCTGAACTCAACTGCTGGAGGTGGTTCTGGAATGGGAGGCTATGGCAGAGATGGAATGGGTAAGGATTAACTTTGATATAGTTGACTTTCTTTAAGGGTTTTTTTCCCCCAAAGTGTCCTGGGTTCCAAGTTTATAAGCATGTACATTCTGTCTTTCAGATCAAGGCTACGGCTCTGTTGGTAGAATGGGAATGGGTAGTAATTACAGTGGAGGGTATGGAACTCCTGATGGCTTGGGCGGATATAGTAAGTAAAAGTTCTCTCGTGTACTCCGTGGCTACGTTGCTGCATTAACTTGTGGCAGGATCTGGAAAGGTGGGCTGTTTTGTGGTACAGGGTATTTGTGCTTTGAGCAAGGGGAGGGCGTGGTGGTTAAATCACAGATCACTTTTTCATGCATTTGGCAACTACAACAACTGATTGTTTAGAAAAGTAGTGCTAAAGTATTGTTAATTTTGTGACTTAAGGTGGGGCCAAACCAAAGTTCTAGTATCACCGATCAATTTTTTTCTTTTCTTTAAGGTATGTATACGTGACCTTGTCAATTGTTTGCAGGTCGTGGCAGTGGGAATAGTGGAGGATACTATGGGCAAGGCAGTATGGGTGGAGGAGGATGGCGTGGAATGTATTGAAGGATGGCCTTGCTTCTACAAAATATCCCGGAAGAAACAGTCTCTGGTCTACTAGGCTTTCTTACAAAATTCAATTTCTTTTGTATTTTAAGAACTTTATAATGACTGAAGGAATGTGTTTTCACAATATTATTTGGTAAGCAACAGATTGTGAGGGGAAAATCTGTTTTCTGTAGGTTTTATTTGTTGCATACTCCAACTTTAAATAAATTTTTATATTCAAACCACTGATGTTGATACTTTTTATACTAGTTATTCCTAAGGATGTATTACATATTCAAGAAGAGTCGGTTTAAGGTGTTGTACTACTCTTGGTTCAATAAAGGTGGTTGTACTGTGACTCTTATGAACACTGATTTAGTTCTGTGTAATCTTGGTGTAGTGAATGAGTTGCAAAATTCACTTGTTTAAAAGAAAAAGGTATTTGAATAGACTAAGTGATTTGGTTACAGCCTCTCCTCAATCCTTTTGATAAGTTGTATGTAATTTCCTAACACAGCATTAAGCTGAAAAGGGTATGGAGGCTCAAAGTCAAGAGTTGCAGCTTCCTTCCTTTGGGTATCGGAATCTACTGTGATCTTCAGCCGTACAACTACGTAAATAACAGATTAGTGACCAAGTTCTGTGCATCCACAAAACTGAGTGAGTAGTTCCAGAGTTTGCTGTAGAGTTCTAGAAACTGCATTTCACATCTTCATTCATAAATGTGCAATTCACTAGTTTATCAAACTAAAACAGTAGCACAGGTTATCTTTTAGTTAAAATAGGTCAAGTGCTTGTTAATTTGACATGATCTACTTAGTTAAAAAAGTATCAAGTCCTGCTTTCAGGAAGATGTGAGAATTTTAAGGAGGTTGGACTTCGTTTTTCATGAAACCACTTTTTTTTTTTCTTTCTGCACACAGCTAACTTTTCACTCTGTTCTAAATTTTGCAAGCCAGTATATGGGTGAGCAAGTAGAAGTCCAGTGCCTCTAAAAAAGGATGTAAGCCTAATATTTGTTAAATAATCAACACCTCCAACCCAAACCACCTGGTGACATTTTGTGCATTTATGAGATGTAAGATATGTAAGAAACTTTGTTTGAAGACACTTAACATACCTGCTGTGTAATGAAAAAAGGTATTTCGTATTTATTCTGAGCCAGTGTGATCTCCCAAACTAACTGCTTGTCCTCTGCCTCCTTACAATGTCAAATGTGATCTTGGGTATTGAAAGTCTGTCACCTGTTCTGCTAGTACTGTGTTATATACGTAATAAATGTCTTACTGTGGGAGAGAGGAGAATGGAGTTTATTTTACTAGAGACTGTGTTCTTGTGCCAAAGGGGCTGGAGGTGATAGCTGAAGAAGTAACATGCCTTAGAAAGCTCCAGCAGTACTGCACGTTTTCTCTTGAATAAGAAGGGGAGGGAAGATGCCTTGAAACTACTGTAGTGACCAGTGGAAAGGTGGTCGGTTGCTGAAAAGGCTTGCATCTTATGTAAAAGGCACCAAGGAGTTAAGTATCATGGCAAAATATATTACGGTGAGGTAGAGGGTATCTATAGTTGACAGAAGCTGCAGTGTTTCCCTTAGCTTCTAGGCTGTACTTTCTATAAAAGAGCTCTGTCTAAATAATCCTCACTTCTATTTTGCCTTTTATGAGGAGGATGGCAGTTTTTAGGAGTTCATTAAAGCTTCAGCCTATTCTCTATAGCCAAGTAACTGTAAAAGTACACTGCAAAGATGCTCACTAGGTATTTAAATGGAAGAGAAGCCTTCATTTCAGTTGTTCCACTCTCAAGAGCAGCCTTCAACTTCAAATCTGAAGAATGTGTGCAAATAACACTCAAGATTTGGAGTACCATGATTTTGACTTTCCAACAGGCTGGACTACAGCAACTAGTCTTTTCTCTACAATAATAAAGTCCTTTATAAAAAGAACTTAGATTACTGAGCAGACAGCAACCCCTCTGCACACATGTTCTATCTACCTTAGCTGGAAAAGTGGAATAGGGAGAGAGTTCCTTGTTTCTCAATGCAACATTGTATCCCCTATTCCAAAAGTATTCAGAAGAGCAAGATATGAAGGTAGAAAATGAGCTAGGATTTCCTTTTCATTCCAGAAGAGCAGGTACAACTGCACCAGTAATAATTTAAGCACCTTTGCCGGAAGGTAGGTACAGCCAGTGCAATCTCTGGGCAGACGGAAGGACGAGTGTATTTTTCATCGGTGTGCTGGTTCCCCCTCAGTTAAGGCTGGAGCCAGAAGCAGCCAGCTTCCTGTGCTGCTGGAACACACTTGCCCTTTCTTCAGAAGAATGGGTTAGGTAACTCCACAACTAGTTATTTACTTTGTGTGAAAGAAGATTTCAAATTACATGATAATGTCAAAGGAAAAGACTTGTAGAAAAAGACAAAATACAGAATTAATGGGTTAATGACAGTCTGATTGAAAACCTGCTAAAAGGCCTATTGCTGTAGTTTGATGTGGATGGGAATAAGACAAAAAAGAACACGAGACTGTATTCAGCATTTAGTTCAGGGCAGAAATACTCCTTGCACAGAGTATTTAAAAGCAGTCTGAATGCATTACACAATACTTGAGTGACACTTTTCCCCCACAGAACTGGGATCACAGAGGACAGGAAAGGATTAAACTGATGGAAATTCAATTCACTACATGTGTATATTACAGAATGTCACCTTTTAAAGTGAGAGCACAGTCAGTACCAAAGACTGGTCCATTTAAATAATTTTTGAAAAGTTACTTATTAAAGCAGTACATATGAGCATCATCTCTATCCTACCTCCAACACTGCTCCCATCCCACCTAGCTGACACCAAGCTCACATCAAACACTCAGAACACTTGCAGGAGGCAACTGAAAAACAGTTCGTTAAGCAACTGGCAATTAGCTCCCCCTGCCCCAGCATTCATAAAGACATTCTAGTCAACTTGAACAAGGCACAATAAAATATTCAAAATATTCTAAATTACAAATTTAAATAAAAGCAACATTATTCTATAGTTCAGTGACAGATCAATTATATTTATTTTTTTCCAAAAACTATTTACAAATATACAAATATTTGTATTATACAAAAAGTTATATTAAGTAATTAAAAAAACACTTTTCTTTACAAAAGCTATATAAGCAGCTACATACATTGGGTGTCTTAAAAGAATAGTTGCTATAGTTTTTATAATATAAACTAAATAACTATCCTCCAATGATGCAACTAAGCTAAGCAAAGTGCAAGAATGATTTATATAGTTAGAAGAAATATTTTGATGCAGCCTTGCTCCTGTCCAATCCATGGGTGAAGGAAGTATTTGGGCAGCCAATTCTGCTAGCTGGTAACCAGTACACATTAAAGCCGGAGATTCCATTGTTGGACCAAATCACATAAAAAGAAGGAAGATTCATTCTAGTGCAATGAAGTGAAGTCAGTCCTAAATACAGTTTATTAAAGGGTGTGTCTTTACCTATTGGAAGAATAAGGATGCAAGTCCCAGCAGAAGTTACTGTGAAACATCAGTGTTAAAAAGTGACGAAATATGTCAGAACTAGCCCTACCTACTGAAAAACTCTCTGGAAAATAATAAAAATACTGTTTAGAAATTAACTCTGTCAGACTGAGAAAAATGGTGACAAAAGGCAGCACAACCTTCCTGGCCAACTCAAGTACAAAAAGGATCTGCAGTCCCTGCTATTTAATCCTAGTGTCTCTTGGCACTCAGCTTCTAGAACCAGATTTGTCAGCATACTATGACTGCATGTACAAGCTAAAGAAAAAAACACACATTTACATGGAAATAGTGTAAAGACAGCTGAGGCTACAGATAATGTGGGGCAAAAACTTTCTGATGGACATCACCCTTAGCAGAAACCTGTATACGTCACATTTATAATTTTTACAAAATAATTCAGAAAAAATACACCTTTTATCTATTGATATTGATAATATTGATATATTGATTTCTTACCTATCTGACAATCTCCTTCCACCTGTGACTACAGAAAACAAAGTTGCCAGTGCAGTACTGGATACAACAGATCTTGAAAAAGAGGGGAAGCAGAAACAGATACAATTAGGAAGAGCTTAATGGACAACCTGCATTAATTGTGTTCCCTAAGTTACAGATATTCCTCCTTGCAGGAGCCAAAAACGTGATTGAGTCCCATTTTCTCCATTTGTCTCAAAAGAAAGCAGACATGTAACTCCTTTACAGTACCTTGAAAATACAACTGTAGACTGCTTACCTGAAATTCCAGAAATAACTCTGGATACGTTTTTACATTTTTCTTCTTTTTTTTTAAAAAAAAAACAGAATTAGTTAAATAGGAATAGTTGATAAACATTTTGTAAAACTTTTATGGCACATTAAAAGAGCACCTCTGTATAAGTATCGCATGGCAGGAATCGCAGACACGAACAGGCTTTGGCGAGGAAGGCAGAGGCAGCTCGTTGTCAGAGCAGGCATTACAGAAGATCTCACCACAGTTTCTACAATGATGCTAAATAACGGAAAGAAGGGAAGGAAGAAAAGAAAAATCTATATACCAATCTATAATGCAATCCTAAACACTTCTGAAGACTGTTTTCAATCCCTCGCTTAAGAAGCACTAAAATACCTCATCAAATAAAAATAGCACAAACACTGATACTTGGTAGAAAATGGATGATTCTGCCAAGCAGCTACTGAGATCTAACATAAAAAGTAGTCAAAATAAATATTCTTGTACACATTAAGAACAGAAATTAACAAAGATGATTTTAAAATAATACTTAAGCTTTTTTTTCACCTATAAAAGACATCAAATGGAAAGACGTTCACATATGGCAAACTGTAACAATGCCAGAGCTGACAAGGGCTCGAGATGATGATTCTGCAAATTAAGTTGAATAAATTCTAAATATGTTCTTCTGTGGCACTGCACCAAAAATGCTGAAATTCTTTTAAGATTAGGACCCAACTCTGTTTAAGGTCAACCTCAAGTAAACAACTAGAAAGACATTTCAAAAATACCTATGCATTCACCTCAAGGTTGACATTCTGTGCTGCATCTCTAAGACAATTAAAATTTTTCTCATAATACACCTAAACAAGTTGGAAGAAGTCTTTTTGGAGAGTTACCTTCCTTTTGGAAAGTGAAAATTCCTTCTCACATAGCTTGCAGTGTGTAGCTTCTTTGTCCTTCAACCAAACCTGTCCCTGGAGGAAATCAATAGTAAGTGTATC